CAGCTATTTTCTACTGATGTATTTTAGCTGCAGAATTGATGAAGTTTGTGGACATTCATGGGAGCCATCACAAAATCGGAGAGGCAACACGTGAGCAAATCCATGGTCCAATTCACTACATTCCTTCCTTATTCAGACCAGCTCTTCTTGAGCTTCACGGTGCTTTGGCCAGTAGGCTGGCATGCATAACCTCAGCACAGCACCCTACAAGACAACTGCTCTGCAAATGCTGCCTCCTGGGCTGCTGCTTGCTCTGTGGTGAACTGCAGTCCTCACGCAATATCACAAACTTGTCACAGCTGGTGTCACAGTGAAAACTTCGAAAACAAGTTTCAGAAGTCACATAGGGTATCTTAACTGTCTTTCCCTTCCCCACACTCTTTTTTTCAGGACCTTCCCAGCTTCATGGTCAATGCAAAACACATTTCCACGTTTCATGTGCGTATCAAAGGTACAGGTCACTGCCCAGCAATATAAAATATTTTTTTAAAATACACCACGATTTCCATACATCTTATTTCTAGCCTCCTGAATCTTCTGAGATTCCAGTGAAGAGAAGCATTAACTAGACAAAACAAACTGAAAAACGCTCGGGAAAAATAATAAAGTTTCTGTCCACCATTTTTCATGTGATGTCATGACTCACTGTGGCTTCGTACAGTTCCTATCAATGTATTACTAACAAATTCAGGATACTCACTCTGGTTTCAGCACTTAATCTTTAAATACATATAGCTCTGAATTCACACTGCAAGAGTGTATCTCAGTTCCCAGTTTAAAACCCAGCTTTACTGTACATGGAAGCAACAATTGAACAGAGACTTGGGAACAGCCTTTACCTGCAAGCACTTTTGTAGGCCTCGGCTTGTGATCTAGGATCCAAACTTAATGTAAGATAAACTAGGAGCTCAGATATTACATGAGAAATGAAAACATTCCTGAGAAGGAAAGACAAAAGATGAAAAATTAGCAAAGCAATTATCATTACAAGAATCGGGAAACTAAGTTTTTAATTCCAGTCCTTTAAAGATTGCTTTATAATTTACATTTACTGGAGATAAATCCTACCCTGAAGGCCAACTTACTGCGTGTTCTGATTTCGTTGTGCTTCTTTGAAAATACTTGCCTTGCAGTAAGGAACCAGAGAGACAGAAGGAGGAAAAGTGATCTGAATAGTCTTACAAGTACCAAAGAGATTTCTGATAAAGAGCTCTGCTAACAAAGGCACATAAGATCCAACAGCTGAAAATGGAATTTGGAAAAAAAGTCAAAATGGAAAGAAATGTAAAGAATTACGCTACTGGAATAACTCACCTAGGAAAAATAATATTTCAGAATCAGTTTAATAAATACTGATCTAGCTTTATTGCTAAAGCAGCTCATCAGCACTACCCCTCACCTGGCTCTACCTTCAGTTCCCTCCAGAGGCTGCTTCCTTTGTAATTAACCATCTTAAACTTTTCTCCTCACTTCCATAACGCAACGCAGAGCAGCACAAGGACTGAAACAGCAGAATGATGCTACAAACGTTAACTCTTGTTCCTTCACCAGCTGCAAAGTGTAAGGGTCAGATGGCTTACAAAGGACACAGTGTGAATCTAACGTCTGCCCTCTGTCTCCACTGCTCTTCACCTTCTTTACAGGCTTGATTGCATGCAGCACAAGGATGCTCATCATCATGAGAGGACCTTTAAAAAAAAATATGTAACAAAAACTAGCCTGTGCTGGTAATTCTGCCAGAAACATAAGTTACCTCCTTTTTGGGTGTTCTTTTTCTTAGAGTACTGTCCTTACGTTCAGCACATAAGAATGCACAGATGGTAGCTGGAAGTTCTCTGTTGAAAAGGTAGATGAAGTTTAGATGGGAGGAGGTAGGAAAAAAAAGCCAAGCACCTGGTAAACACTTCATTGCTTCTTTATTTAGATGCACCCACAGTACAGAGCCTCTTGAGCATGTGCATAAGAGGAAGATTACACATGTATAGCTGGGAGCACCATTGAGTTCGAGTTTGTTTGATACCATTTTTAAGAAAGTAAACTATTTCCAAAGAATGACATTTGAATCCAAGAGCTTAAGACCTGCTTGTACTTTATCCAGAGGTGGAAGGCATTGTTATTATTACTTTGATGCAAGTAGAAGACGTGTTCACGGTCTGGTTGGACCAGTCTTTATATTTTCATATGCACCTTTTAATATAATATAAAAAATGTTTCATTTCCTCCCCCCCCCTCCCGCCTACAAATAGTTAAATGCATCTAAATTTAAAAACAATAATGGACCAGAGCATTCCTATGGGGAAAAATGAACTTCTGCTGCCCTCTCCTGCTTAAACAATGAAATGCTAAAATATTCAGATCTATGAATCTAATGCTAACTTTCAAACAAAAAGCATGACAGCTCATTCGCTATACTACAGTCAAAAATAGGCCAACAACAAGAAATGTATTGGTACTATTTATATTTGAAAATTCCTCATTTTACATGAGGTTATGAATACAACGTATTTACAGTAAGTGATCCAAATAACAAAAACACGTATTCAGAGGTCATGTAAGAAGCGCGTGCTTCTGTGGATGGGAAGCGACACTGGGATTAAAGTTTTCAATGAAAAATTAGTTCCATCCCACTTCAAGACGTCGTAGACTTTAAATGAAAAACTGGGCAATGCAAAATCTGCTGCACCTATCGACTAGGAAAACTAATTTGCCACGCAATACAGCTGGTAAGGGAAGCAGATGAGCCTAAGCAAAGTCACACATAAATAAGAACACTCTGCAGTCTTGCTCTTCATCAGCTTTATCGTCTTTTAGGGGACTGCATTGTGAGGACAGTCACACGGATCAAGAGAAAATGCCATCTTTGCTTTTAAAGACAGAACTAAAGCCAATTCATTTTGGTTTTATTTGGGGGGAGAAAAATCTGCTCAGTTTTTTCCCCTCTCCTCACCAAATAATAGAGGTTTTTATAGCTCCTAATATATTTTCCTTTCCTTAGAGTAGGAGAGCCTGAGGCTGTACTTACACATGTATAACGTACACACAGCTGCTGCCTTTCTTGCTCAAGCAATTCTTGGCTCCAACAGCCTTGCTTTGTTTCCCATATATAGGAGGAGATAAAAAATAAATTAAACCCTTTTATTTATGCTAAGAAAACCAAGATTAAATGTACTAATGAAAGATCCAATGGCATTAGAATACTTTTATTTAAAGCATTCCAACCTTTGGAAGAGAGACAAAAAACACTCAAAAATCAATGAAAGGAAAACAATAAGGGAGACTTGCAAGATGAAAAAAGCAATATGTGCTCAATTTAAAGTATATGAGAGGAACTTTACTTTTACAGTCGTCGTATCCCCATGACCTGATGCAATGCCCTTGTATTGAAAACGCAGTTCTTTCCTTTTAGCAGACAGCATTCAATCCTTTCTCCTGAAACCAATATGGCACAGGACACCAGCCATCACCCAACCACTGCTCTAAGAGCAGTTAACAACAACATTTACACAAATAAAGGTAGTTTCTGGAACTCAACAAGCAAACAAAAGCACAATTATAAATAGACACACTGATCACACTTGGGCCCATTTGCTGCCTTCTTCTTTGCCTAAAGCTCCAACTGATCCCAAAGGGAGCTCTGTACAGTGGCAGAGTATCGCATTCGGGTTGCGGCAAACAGCGGACCCTGGGGGTACAGTCAGGTCATTGTGGCAAGTGCTTCTTCACATACACCACAGAGGGCACCACAAAGTGCAACCTAGGGTCTCATCAGCCTTTTAGAGTCTCGTGACTAAGAGCACATTGTCCCATTCCGCTCAGAGAAACATTCCTTCTTGGAAGTGATAAATCATCTACAAGCTTTAGACGCTCCCCGCTATCCCCACATCAGAGGTAATAAAATATTGCAACCCATCAGGTTCTCATCAGTTGTGTATGATCGACACCAGAACGTCATGTCAAAACCATAAAGTTGTGAACAAACAACACTCACCTAAACTCTAAGTACAGGACAAGGTGCTTTTTCTAATTTCACATCGTTCTGCTTTACTCCACCAGGTGGAAAATTTCTTTTTTAAATTTCCATTATATCTCAATTTTTCACAATCAGTCTTTAAGCATGATTCAATCCATCCTCTTGTAAATCGTGATAATTTCACACAGAAATCGCACTACTTAGTATTTCTTTTGTAACAGAAATAAAAGACTGTCAAAATCAACGGGCTAAGGGACGTGATTCATTATAAATTTATTTAATCTTCAGTATCTCAGCTTGCACCTTTGCTTCAGCACTTCAAAATAAAATGTTTCAACTACGACAGTAACTGTCTAATTTACACTGCGTCCCAGCCAGTGTTCTTAGAAGCTCGTTAATCCCATTAAACCACGTTGTGTTGGGTGTTGCATATGACTAGATCCACCTTATTTCTTTTTTCTCCCTGTCCCGGAATTAACAGTGCCAAGTTTTTACAAAACTGTTGAGTTTACAACATATCTGTGTGTGCAGACCCAGGAGTACAAACTGTGACCTGATAGTCCCGAAACAGTCAGTAGTCAAGGAGGGAATGCTTTTTTTCTTTTTTTTCCTCTCTTCTTTTCCGTGCCTGGAAACAAGAAAACTTCAAATCCTACTGTATACTTAAATGGTAGGAAGAAAAATATACAAGCATGTATTTATATTGTATTTCTATCAATGGCAACAGGTCATAAATTCATGTTTGCAACTATCACAAAGACTCAGGAACACCAATTCAGTTTTATACTGTAAATACTGCTGGATTGATGGTTTAGGATTATCAATTCACTGTTGTCATATGACCGTAACAGTTCATAAGCATCCTGGAGTAAAATCCTGAAACACATACCTTTCGGTATATAATAATGCAACTGCATTAGCTAAATATTTACTGTACATAAGTTTTATCAGCATTTTACCTACCAAAGATGTAAATTCCACTTTCAAATACAAAGCAGATAGCCAATAATGTATACTTATAATACAGCCCTCTTCTTTTTTTTTTTTCTTTTGTTTTAAACAATTTGGTCACAATGCACCTTTGATATAAAAGCTTTATTATTAATACTCAGAACATTAGGATTTCCAGAATTTTTTTTCAGTAGCATTTGTAGAACCACTTTTGGTAACAAATACAGTAGTTAGGAATGAGCATCCAGATGAGAATGCAGAAGTATATTATCCAGAATCCTTTCCAGCTAAGACCATAGGGCTGGTACTGTGATGAGTAATAATAGTACTTGAACCACAAAAACACTATAGTATGTTTCTTAGAGGCTACATCCTCTTTTGCTGGAACACTTTATAAATACATATTAAAAAGTAAGGCAACAACTCCAAACAGTCCAAACTGCTATCTCAACTCATTTCCCAGTTAGATCCATGACCACTGGAGATCAATTTCATGCTTGCACTGTTTAGCGTTTGTCTTTATTCTTTCAAAATGGTCCAATAAAAACATACTGTAGTAATTTAGGAATTAGTATTTCTAAAACAGCTCTGGTACGTGTGTCCAATGCTGTAACACTAATACTGGTTAGGTACTGAAATCTAAGCTGTTACCACTGTCCATTTTTCAAGGATTGTGGACACTAATTTGGATTTGCAATAAATAGGTGCACGAATCCAAAGCTCCCTTTCCTACTATGTTTATCACCTACTTGTTTTTTTAGCTCCTAATGTTCAAATTAAAGAAGCACCAGAGACAGACTGGTACTAAAAAATGCTCACACCAGTAAACAAAACTTTTATTCAGGACCTATGTTTTTTTTTTTTCATGGCCCTGATCTGAATGGACATTCAACTTATGAAGATGTGCAAAAGGAAAGAAAAAAAAAAAAAAAGTCAAATTACAGTAAAGTTATCCAGAGAAGGAGGATGTTACACAAACTCATAAGGAAATGACAGTCTTTTTTCTCTTTTACTATAAATACACTTAACAGTTTAGCAGAAAGACAAGCTAAATTTTAAGATTGTTCACATTTGAAAGTTGTATTATACTCTCTGCTAACGATAAATAAGGAACAGGTCCTGACAATGAAATCTGACATTGCAATTTTCATCAACAGATCTTTGAAGACTGGTTTTAAAGAAGGGTTAAAACAATGATTATGTTTGCAAAGTTCTGAGAAGTCCATCTGCTGTCCAAACTTTGGATTAAAGTCCTTATTTTTTTCCTTTACTTAGAGACAGGTATATACAGTGCTGTTGTAATAATGAAACAAATGTGAAATCTACTGTAAAGTTGCACAATACAGAAAACTGTTGCTCCATCTTCTACTACATAAATGTGTGACTCCACAGGTTAATAATGCTGTTTTGTTTTTTTGTTAAGTTGGAATTATTCCATCACGTCTAAGACCTCTCTTTAATTCCAAATCCTCCAGTTTTTTCCACAGTTCTTCACGCTCTTTTTCTTTCTTCTTCTCACTGACAGATGAAACAAAACAAAGAGTTAGCAGACATAAATATTTATGTAAAAATGACATTAATTAGCAGTATTAATTTTATTTAACATTTCGTAATTCCTATACTTTTTTTTTTTAAAGTTTTTTTTTTTTTCTCTTTTGCTTTTCATTGCTTATCTAAGTACTACTAAAAAAGTATTAGGATAAAATAAAATAGTGCTTACACATGCTATTCTGCAATAAGAAATAAATTAAAAAAAACACACATGGACTTCTATTATGGACCAAATATCATTATTATTGCTAATCTGCAGTTTCTTATTTTCCAGTTTCTTTATTCAGGGCTGTCATACACTTCAGCAAAGGGAAAGTTCAGACACAAGATGTATCTTTTAGCCAGTGCTTTACTTTTTTTTTTTTCCTCTACCAAATTCTATTTAGTATTTTCTTTACCAACAGGCTTTCATGGCTATTTTGTTAAAATTAAACAGCTGAGCTAATATTTGCTTTACCTGCATTATTTGCTTTCTAAATTTCCAGTTTCTGCTGTAACTTCTTTTGAATAAATTTCCCTGCATTTCAAGATGCAAAATGCATCCCATTTCTACGGCATCACGCTGCATGTTCAGATGAAATGAAAAGCTAACAATACAGATTCTCTACCTGTCAAATTACAGAATTCCTAAAAATATTTCAGTGGATTAGAAATACTATTCCTACATATCTCAACTCAGCTGCCATGTCAACATCTGGTTAAAGTATTTTCAGCACACAAAAAAAGAAAAGCAACTTTTATCAAAGTCCCTGAAGATCAATTAAAGTAAATAGAGCCCACTGTCTCTGAAACATAGTATCGCAAGAATAAATGAAATAGCCTGACATTTTCAGGCTGTTTACCAGATAGTTATTATCTTATCGTTATAAAATAGATGCCTGCTTAGTGAAAGGCTCTGAAATGATGATAACCTCATCCAACTTACCTATGTGACCTAGCATAGTCATTAATACTGAACATTTTTCTCCTCAAGCTTTAAGTAGTATTAAAGATACATTTTTAAAATGTTGCTTTATTAATACAATTAAGTTTTTCTGTAAACATTATTTTTTTCTTTAAACATCCATTAATTGATTGTCCCTGTTTACACATGCAGTTATTTACATGCTTTAAGATGATAATTAGTTGTCCAAACACGGAACATACTACACCGGTGCCCCATTCTGTTAAGAGCTGAGCTCCTCATCTTAAGGTGCAAAGTGCAAATGACACTGACTTAAGTCACTGAGGTGACTTGAAAATGTCTGGATTAGATGACCAGTCCTGAGATTCTCAGCCTCTTTTGTGTGCTAGAAAGCCACACGGTATTGCCTCAGCTGTTCTAGCAGATTGAACCTTACTTATCATCAGCTACTTAGAATTTCATGTGTCCTAGCTCACAGACCTGAGGTTTTAAGTTTAAAAAGCTTTATTAGTTCACCTGTGGATTTTTCATGTATAAAACTTCTTATTTTACAGCAATGAAGCATAACAGAGAACAGCATGAATCCAGACACGCAATTCTAAAGCTATAGACTGCAAGAGACTTTAGAGACTACTAACATAGCAAGTTTTTATGACTTTCAGAATCCTTTGCTTTGCTTGTGGGAACTCCAAGTCACACAAAAGTTCAAAGTTCCTGAATTCTATTTTTTTTTTTTTAACCTGCTACTTTGGATGGGCTAAATCTCTGCACAATAATTGGAATATGAAGGAACATAGGAAAACAGACAAATTGCATACAACTGGGTTGGAACAAATGAGTGGTGTACCTAATGGATTGCACAAGCTCAAAGATTCAGATCAAACAGATTAAGAATCAAAAAAGTTGAAAGATGCCTTTGTGCTTTAAGACAACGTCTAGTCTATAAGTACTGATTTGGAAAATCAAAACATGCGGATTTTCCTCATGTCTCTTTCCCAATCTCAGTGTTTGTTTTAAAGTCTTGAAGCGCAGTGGATCTTAAAACACTTGTTTTCTTTTATCATTGAAAAGCTTCACACAAACAAAGAATGGCAGAGGTCAAATGGGGCCTCTGGAGACCATTGATGTATCCCCTCAAGTAGGGCCACCCACAGCAAGTTGCCCAGGATCACCACCAGGCAGCTTCTGAACATCTCCAAGCATGGAGACTCCACAACCACTCCGAGCAACATGTTCCATTGACCACAGTTAAGAAGTGCTCCCCAATGTTTAGATGGAAATAGCTTAATACATCTAATTCTTTTGGAATACAATGTCAAAAGGAGTTTCCTGAAACTTCCCAAGCTATGTAATAATTACCACATGTTATAAGGGGTAAAGATCAACTTATACATTACATTCTCTCACAACTTGCAAACAGTAAGCTAAAGAGAACATAGGGAAAAATACAGGCATTGTGTAAATTATGTATGAGATTTTGCAATTGCAGCTGAGTGCAAAGGAAAATCTAAACAGCAGTCCTTATGCACAGCTGACAAAAAAAGCTTTAAAAAGTTACCGCTGACGATCTGACTTGTAAGTGGCTGTCAGCTCATCAAACATGGTGCTGTTCATTTCCATAAATGCCTTCAACACATTGTAGACTAAAGCCACAATAGCCCTGTGAAACATTAAAATAGAAGAAAGGAATTGATTAGTTTCAGGTGAAATCAAACAAGAAAACTATCTTCTCTTACCAGCAGTTCTGTGATCAACTCTGCTCTTGCAAATATGCGAATTTTTATTTCAGTGAAACTACTTGATCAACACCTTTAAAGGTATGAATCAGTTCTTGATAACTCTAATAACTACTTACATGAGGCAAAGCAAACATCTAGGGTAAAAGGCAACAACAGAAAGCTGTTAGAAATAACGATAGACTCCTCCCTCATGATGTTGAGCAATTCTCAATGCAACTCCAGGGATTAAAATCATTGCTTGCAGAAGTACCAGAATTGAAACAAAAAAGGGTATGATTCATATTTCCTCACAATTCTTCCATCAAGCTGAATAATCCATGCCTCCATGCAAAATACAAGGCTTTATTTCAAAAGTGCTGTCCTTGTATCATTACATTTCATGTTCACTTTCACTTTGGTACATTAAAAAAATTATTAATTAAAAAAAAACAAAAACACCACTACAAGTGCTATGGATGTAAAGTGGCCACATCTACGCAAAGCAGTATACAGTGTATGAATAAACCTCTGCTGCCTTTGCTTATTGCTGTAACACAGAAGTCAACACACCACTGCTCATTTTGATTCCAGTTGCTTATCTGAATAAAACAGGACCTGTTCCTACAGGGAGAAATGATGTACAATGCTAGTAATTTCAAAAAGGCTGCAAAGACAGTCTGTCACACAAAGATAGCCTAAAATATAACGGTATTTCCAAAGTAACAGGGGTTTGTTATTAGTCTGATTTATCTAGAGTTCAAAATTCCTCTCCAGCAGAGTTCAACATAAAAAAAAACAACATAGCAACAGAGAAGGGAAGGAAACAAAGCTCAAAAACATTTAAAAATTTGAACAGATTATTAATCAAGAAATCCTGATTCCTGATCCAATGCTACAGGTGTCATATTCAGACACATGGCTGCTTATGAAACAGCTCTTCAGCAGGCATGAATACAAGTGCTAGCAACATTTGGGGCTAAACTACACAGCAAATGTGACATTTCCACATTGTCCTGTCTACCATTCACATATTTCCAATAGACTATCACTTTCGCTGTCCTCATTTATTAATGTTTTAATACACATAAAGATTCCTAAAATATCTTCTTGATTCAACAAGTTTCTTAATCTGGTTTGCCTGCTAATGGTACAACATTCCTGTAGGTATGAACACTCTGAGAAGTGAAGGACTAGCATGTCCTCATGACTTGAAGCACCCCAGAATGTAGTACAAAAGGCTGGACAGAGTGCTGGAAGGTTTCAGACCCTCAGTGCAGCAGCAAGCCACTTAAAATGTCTTTCTGTAACCAGCCTTTACCATGGACGGTTTCCAGTAGCATTAGATTTGTGATGAAAGCACACAAACTTGAGGGTTTAAAAGGTGCAGAACACAGAGCAAAAGATGAAATAGCTTACAAATACTTCACAGGAAGACCTTAGCAAAGTAACTGGGATCTGAGCACAGTACAGCTCATTAAAAATACCGGGTTTACTAAACAGCAATCCGTTTGGCTTAACAAACATTTCATCCCAAGTATAGAATACATGATATCTAACTGTAACAATGTTTTTCATTACACTACTAGAAAATTTTGTTTAAAAACAAGAAAGCAAAATATCAATAGGAAGCCACTAATCTGTGCCCAATGGAGAACAGATGTATTTAAATAAATTTAGAAGGAAAAAAGACACTACCTAAAAAAAAAGGATGTTTATATGCTCCATAAACATTCAGAAAAATGCTGGTACCAGACGGAACAGTACCATCCACGATACAGCTACAAAGCTTTATTAATGCCAAGCATCATTATTCTAGACAACACATTTACCAGCTGTTTATGAGAAATGCTTGATGAGCAACACTTTTTCTTCAATAACAATACAACACCTAATTTTTCTTTCTTTTAACTTACGGAGAAGGTTTATTTTTATCCCCCGAGGTACTGATTTTCATATACATACCAGATAATTAATATCATTTTGAGCCAAGCTCAAGCATGCTCTAATTTATATTGGCATTAACAGAGCTGCACCTGCTCATGTCAGCTTTGAATCTGGGTATCTCCTATTCTGACATTCTTCAGCACATACGTCCTAAATTGATCAGTAGTTTGACAAGAGGCAATTTGAAATTTAATTGCAAGAACTTACGGATTCCAGTGCTCTTTAGAAATCCTATAAAGGCTGGAAAACATGATGGGAAGTATGACATTTGAATTCTCCTCTATCAAACTCATGATGTATTCATTATTCCAATAGTACAGTGCTCTTTCAGCCACCTTTGAGTCAAAGGAATAAAATATTAACAGGAATTCATGTACTTGTATTTCTAATAATCTGAAGCAAAAACAAACCACAGAAATTTCATTCAAATGAATTAGCTCTGGAATTAAGACTCTATTTTTATCAGTAATATAATCTATATTAATGAAATCAAATTTTTAGACTGTAATTCAGATCCCACAGTATCTACCCTCTCTTACTCCTGAACAATATATTGAGAATCAATACAGACCAAGTGCAGATAATACAATACTGCAGCTTTGGAAGTGAAAGGACAGTGGAACAACTTTTCCATCTCCTCTTCCCCTCCACCTTTGATTTCCCAGATGGAAGGATCAGACCAGCATTAGCATACAAGACAAAGGAAACTGTGTTATGTCCAGTAGCTGGGCTAAATATGGGAGATTACATCTTAAACACGGGCAAGGTACTAATTACAATAATCATTATGAGGGGCCAGTTGAGAACTAGAAGAGAAAACATCTACACTGTACTAAAAACAGATGTCATCCAGGAAAGAGCCTATAGCAGTTGTATCACAAAATCACAGTGATTCTGTGATTCCACTCCAACCCCCTGCTAAAGCAGGTTCCCATAACAGTTGCACAGGAAAGCATCCAGGCAGGTTTTGAATATATCCAGAAAAGGAGGACTCTACTGTCTCTCTGAGAAGTTTGTTCCAAAGCTCTGCCAGCCTCTTAGTAAAGAAGTTCTTCTCCATGTTCATATGGAACTTCCTGTTTTCCAGTTTGCCTTCATTGCCTCTTGTCCTGTCACCAGGCAGGATTGAAAAGCACCTGGCCCCATACTGTTGACACCCATCCTTTCATAAGCCTTGATAAGATCCCCTCTCAGTCTCTTCCAGGCTGAACAGCCCTGAGTCTCACCGCCTATCCTCACATAAGGGGATACATCTGTTCCAGGTCCCTAATTATCCTCGTAATCCTCCACTGCTGTACTCTTTCCAGCAGTGCCCTTTCCTGAACTCAGGAGCCCACAACTGGACACTGTACTCCATATGAGGCTTCACTAGGGCAGAATAAAGGGGGGGAGAACAACCTCCCTTGACCTGCTGACCACGTGCTTTTTAATATACCCCAGGACACCACTGGTCTTCTTGGTTGCAAGGGCACACTGCTAGCTCATGGCCAACCAGGACAGAGAAAGAAAGAGATCCTTACTTGCAGGTAAGCCCCTAATCTTAACTGGTGTGTGCCAGTCACTCCTCCCAGCTTTGCTTCATCAGCAAACTTGCTGGATAGGATCAGCTATTTCTTCTTTCCCTATCCACTTCACTGTCCACTCATCCAGCCCACACTTCCTAAGCTTACCTATTAGGATGTCATGGGGGGCAGTGTCAAAAGGCTTGCTGAAGTTACACATCCACTGCTCTCTCATCTACTCAGCCAGTCATGACATCACAGAAGGCTACCACGTTGGTCAAGCATGATTTCTCCTTTGGTGATCCCATTCTGGCTACTCCTGATAACCTTCTTGCTTGGAGATAACATCTAAAATAAGTTGTTCCATCACCTTTCCATGGATGAGGAGAGGCTGACTGGCCTGTAGTTTCCCAGGCCCTCCTTCTCCTTACTGTGTTTTCTGAAGACTGGAGTGACATTGGCTTTCCTGCAGTCTGCTAGCAGCTCTCCAGTTCTCAATGACCTTGCATAGATGATAGCAAAGTGGTTTAGCAATCACTTCTGCGAGCTCCCTCAGTATTTGGCAGGTGCATTCCATTAAGGCCCAGAGAATTGTGTAAGCTTATTTTGTCTCTAATCAGATCCTCCTCAACAAAGTGGAAGTCTTCCTTTCTCCATGCTCTTTTTTTTTTTTTTTTTTATCTATAAGGTCTGGGATTCCTGAGAGTCAGTCTTAGCATTACAGAATGAAGCAAATAATCTATCTTCTTTTATGTAAGGATATATCACATAGCTTAATATGTAGATGATATAGGCCATGAATCCTAATTCCTCTTCATGATTAAATTTAATTCCTATTCATCCCCCTTCTTTCTATCATGCAAGAAAGAAAGTGGTCTATGGGACCTATCACCTCTAACCAGATATCTCCTTAGAGAATGAAGGAGGAAGGAGAACAAAAATGCTGCACAGTGCTGCACTAAAAATGGGAGCAAATAAATCCCACTGGGCCTACAAATCTGAAGGCCATACAATCAGTGTCTATCACCTACAGCTGTAAGGCCTCAAAGTCAGCTGGGACATAGTTGAAAGCCTCATGTAGCTCCAAACTGCAAGTTCTGTGCTGTAACCCACAAACGTACTTCATCATGGAGCTCAGAATTGAACTTCTACTGCAACATAAGTTTGCACATAGGAAACCAGAAGATAAGTATTTAAAATAACAGAACATAAAATGATATCTACATTTGAAGAGGTGTTATGCTAGAAATTGAGACTACACATTCCTAAACAAACAATTGTCTTCACCACTAACCTGAAAATGAGGGCTAGAGACACACTTGGCAATTTGTTTAAACAAGGGTTCCTGGATTTTGACAAATTGTGATGGTTCAATTACATCCAAGATTTCCTCCAGCTCTCCTAGGAACATGACCTACAGACAAGGAAGGAAAAATTGAATTAAAAAAATCTCTAAATCATCTTGCTCAGTAAAATGCTGCATATCTTCAACTTCTCCTCTAGGGAAAAATGTAAGCTCATCAAGAATCTCGTTCAAAAAAACATGACAACTTCTGACTCTAGTGTCAGAAAAAAATACCAAAGTGCAAATGCTGTATGTAAAGTAATCACTTAAAACAAACTTCAGAATTGCACCAGGATATGCATGCTTTGACTACAAAGTCTTCATACCTGGTAAGTAAGGAGAGTCACATAACAGAATTTTATCTCCGTTTTTAAAGTAATACTCAAAATAACAGTTTCTCTAAGTCATAAAATCTCAGGAAATCTCAGATTTGCATTTAGAATTGTAAACAAATATGCAAATGTTTAACAGCATCTTTTACAAGTTTGGTAGGTAACACAGCATTTTCAAATTTAAAAAACTCTGATTCGGAATTTTTTATATTAGTCCTCAATATATTTATTCTCTCCTTTCTAAATCAAAATCTGTGTAAAAGCTAGAGTTTATTTTGTGAGTAGGAACTACAGCTATCAGGAGCTTTTCTCTTCATAGTCAGAACTGTCCAGAAAAAAAAAAACAACCACATCAACTGCAAGGATTAATTTCAAGATCCAGTACAGCATGTACAATCTGTCTGGAAATACCTAAATGTTCGCTGCATATCATACTATAGAGCAAACTAACTCTTACATTTTTGGTTAACAGCAGTAATTCATTTACCTCTTTCTGACTGCAGGTTTTCGGCCAGAATTTCATTAAGCCTCTGATGACCTAAATTAGAAGAAAAAGAAGTTAGATCATTATTTTTTTTAAACATTCCTCACAACAGGATAAGCTGTTTATCATGGAAAAAAATATGAAAAATATTTACTGGTTCTGTGAGTGAGGGGTCTTTCTCCAGAAACTGTACTATGCAATATGCCAGCTGTGAAGAGGTAAAGATTTAAGAAAACAAAGTTAGAACATTATAATGAAATTGCAGACAAACATTTAAAAAAAAAAAAAAAAGAGACTGTAGGCAAGATGCTACACAGCTCAGTCACATATTTAAACTGAGATGCCTAGGTTGCATTTGATCAATTAAATGCATCCATAAATCCATTTAAATTCAAGTTACTAGGGAACAATAAAGAAAGAAAACATTACAAAAATCTTCACATGGCAAATTATCACATATAATTAAAAATCAGAGCAACTTGGAGTTCAAAATACAGTGACACAATGTTTATAAAATTTTGTTAATCTCTGAAATTGCTTCTTTTTACATGTTTTGTATATTGGTAAAATTGTGAAAACTCACAAGATGAGCTGGCACAGCTAAAACCCTGAGTAACATATTTAGCATGTGTGGCTTTGAAAGTATAAGAAAGATTATCTTATCAGAAATCTATCAGAAAATGAGATAGAAATGGAGCAGGTATCACTTATCAGAGGAAAAATGTCATCATGACAGCTGAAGGTATGACAGGACATAAGAGAGCAAAAACGTGCTATCAAGTCAGTGAAGGAACACATTGAAGATCATGCAGGAACGAAGGCATTAGTATTCAGAAAGTTGCCAGAGTGAAGAAGAGCCCAGAGAGCACAAGACTAAGGAAAATTGAACATCCTCTTGGGACAGAGAAAGGGGATTGCAGAATGGGAAAGGCAGCCTTGTGAGAATGAGGAAAGAACAGAAAGGAAAGCCTAAAGAGAGCTTAACTACTAAAGTTTAAAGTATTACAGACGTTGGTTACATTTTTAATTATCTAATCAGACTAAAAAGTATTTGTCTTAAAAAAATGCAGTAAATGAATATGAAAATCTATTGCATTTTCCCACTTTACAAAACTTTCCCCCCTCCCTTTAATGTACTCTGCAATTAAATTTCCAAAGTTACTAAAAAATTATAGAATTCTAACTGAGCAGAAAATATTTTTATAACTTCTACCTGTGCATGGAAGAGTGATAAACTTCTGACAGTATGTAAAGGAATCAGCACCTTCACCAGAAACTGTTTATGCTCTGCCTTAAGAGGTAAAGCAAAACCATTGATAATACTAGAAATTAGAAGAGAAGTATTTGTTAGTGTTATCATCACAGAAAACATTCTTGAGATCTGAACAAGAACTTTCTACATTAAAATCATTTAGGAGTCAGCACCTGTATTGGGCTCAAGTTATTTGTAAACAGATGCTGAAATTTGCCCTCCTTTATATCAGCAATTCAGCACATATCTATACAGTACAAACAATTCAGCTCTAACTTAAAAATCATCACACGAACAACTGCACAAACCTTCTACTAAACAGATAAGAAGTGTCTGCTTAATCTGCAAATTCACACGTTCCTTGGTAATTAAGTTATTATAATTAGGTATATGGGATATTCACTCTAGTAGTGAAAAGTACACTGCTTATGTACTTTAAAAAATATGCAGTGCATAAGGATGAAGCGTAACACATACACAAAACCAATCCAATCCTCCTGCATCCACATATGAACTCCTGGCAAAGACAGGAGAGAGATTTGCTTAGAGATGGGCTCAAAGATGAGCATGTGCACACATCTCTTTCAAAATCAGGGTTTATAGCAATACTTTTTCTAAGTCTGAATTACTCTGACACGTCCAAAAGGGAAGCCTGATATTGGTAATGAATGCTCATTTACCTTCCTAAAATTTCCAACAGCTCAGCTACGCCATTGAAGTGTTCAGTTTCATAAACAAATCTAAAAAACAAAAAAAAAAAAGAAAATGTTAAATGTAAGTAACATATCAGCATACTACAATATTTATGTGAGAAAAATGTCTCCTCCCACAGCTTACCGTAGAAAAATATTATTAATCTGTTTTCGGATAAATGCTCTAAGACCCAGAAACTTGCCATAAATTCTGTGCAAGACTGTTTTTAGGTAGTCCCGTTCTCGAGGGTCTTCGCTATCAAACAGCTCCAACAACTGTGTTTAAAGAAGAAAAAAAAAGAAGTTAAACTGTAGACAGGCTTTCCATTTGACTAGTATGGCACACAGAATTCCGTATGGCAGTTAAATTGCAGCAGGTGCATGTAAGAAGTCAGTATATCTGTACTGCCCAAGGTACAGAAATACAGTTATTAAAAAAAAATAATAACTGCAACCCCCTGTACATCACCACAAAACACTACTTATTGACCTTAACTTCCAGCACAAACATTTAGAAATCTTTAAAGAATTAAGACACTTTTATTAACTGGCTCCCAAACGCTGTCTTCTTCCTCCTCCCCATCCCTCCAAAAAATAAAAATGCTGTCACATCTAGAAAATAACAGACTATTTCTTACCACTTTCATTTTCTCACTGAATTAACAGACCTTCATTTTAATTGCATAAGTTTGCATCAAGGTGACATATTCTAGATGATTTTCATTTATAATATAAGGTCCTAAGCCTTTCTAGAGATTGCATGGCTTTCAGATTGTGGACTCAACAGTGCAGTCTGTGGCAGCACTGGATCTGCTGTCCCAGGACATCTACCAATTAATGCAAATCAAAGAATCAGTCAGGATTGAGCAAAATGTAAACTGCAATATCCAGTTTAAAAAAAAAAAAAAAAAGAAAGAAGAAAAAAAAAGGAAAGAAAAAGGAAAAAAAAAGATTTCTTTACTTAGGAACTGGTAAATGAGATTTTAAAACAGCAAAATAATTACGTGGTTCTCAGTCAAAAGAGAAGACTAGCCAGTGTGTTGTTCTGTACAAAATCTATCCCAAAATATGCTCTCTAAAGCTTCCTCTAAAAACCAAGGTATGAAACAAGCAGCAAGAACAGCAGTCTCACTTCTTCAATCTATTTCCCTACCACAAATGTATGAGTTTCATCTTATCTTTTCAGTTCCATCTTTTTTGACACCACAACATCTGCTATTTTTTCAGTCATCTCAAATGAATTAGAAAAAACTTATTTAAAAAAAGATAGAACTGCACAGAATGTAATGCAATTTAAGTAGTAAGAAAGAAAGAATGAAGATCAGCAAGATAAGGTAACATTCAAGCAGTACATATCTTGAAAAATAAACGAAGGCAGCTTGCCAAACAGGCCTTAAAATGTTTATGATGGTGGCAGAAAAACATGACAGGAACAGCAGAGAACAAAATTATTCTCAATTCACAGATAGATAAATTATAATTATCTATTATAAGAAGATATGTAAGTGCATGTACACTGTCTGATTTCTGTGTAACTGGGGCACAATTTAAAGAAGGTGAAGAAAAAAGAAAATCAGAAAAAGATTTAAAGATTTTTTTAAGCGTTCTGGGATTTTGCTTTCTAATATTCAGGTTTACAGTTGATGTATGAGTTCTTCTTCATCACGTTGCACATTTTTTCCACTACCTTAACCCTACAGTAAGAATTTCTGATGGGAATTTCAGGAGGAAATGGGGTTTGTCAGCTGCCCTGTAGAGGTTATCAACACACTGTTCAATTAGTTCCACAGTTAAAGAAATAAACAGTTACTTCATCCTTCCCCAAATAGCAAATTTCACCCAAAGACAGCAAACAGCTGGAAACACTTTTATTTTTAATATTCTTATTGGATTGTTTTTAGGAGCAAAATATAAATATTTCCAGTTCTTTTATACAGATCCTCTGTGGAAACATTGCTGAAGTCAGACTTGGTCTCTCATTTAAAAAGAAAAGATGCTTATTTGGATTTGTCCAATTCATTATCAGGTTTCAACAATAAAGTCTTATTTTTACTAACAAGCTGTAAGACTTCTATGATTTACGTAACTACTCTGACACCAAACATATACAGAAAAGGGAAATAAAACCTCCAAAATAGCAACCTTCAGTAACACAGATCCATGAGGAGATATTTCGATAGTGCCTCTTAGCAACCACTGCAGACTATATACAATGAAGCTTCAGAAATGAAGTCTCACTGCGAGTGTACAACATTTTATCAAAACTTACAGCTGAAAGCCAATTACACATCTATATTTAAAAAAAAAAAAACAACCCACATCTGTCTCATTCTTCCCATATTAGCACAGTTCTTGCTAAGAAACACTTCACTCAAGTCCACTTAACATTAAAAAACGAATTGTGTTAGAGAGAAAACTGATGATAAAAACTGTCACACTTGTACTGCCAGTGCCACAAAACATAAGCATGCCTGGTGTTTCAAAAGTCTCAAGCTGGTTTCCAGTGTAAGTGATCAGTAATAACTGATCGTTAACTCACGTCACACAAAAAATACAGAAAGAAATGCACAGACACCCAAGTTCCTGAAAATCAAATGAGAACACTTATGAACAGGGAAATATACCTCTTTGAATGTGTACATAAGGCTCTGCAGAACTTCTGACAAAAAAACACGAATGTTTAACTGTGCAAAGCAATATATAACAATGCATCATCTGACAAGAGCTTCCAAATTCTTCAAATTCTTCCAAACTCCAATTTTATCAGACGTTTTCAGATAAGTAGGTTTCAAAATATCTCACTTCTCCCTTTCAGTAGATAAAGACCGATGGGATCTTAAGAATCCTTGTTTTAGACCCATTCTCCACTGCCAAATCTTAATAGGGCTGAATGCCTTGAAAAGCTTCAAGTGATTAGGATATCCCTGAATCTTACAATTTAAGGATAATGATTGCTCCCTAAGCTAAATTCCTCAGGTATTCTTTATGTGAATAATGTACAAAAACAGCAAATTACTGCACAGGAAGAAAAAAAAACAAAACTCCAGAGTTGAGAGTAAGGTCATCAGCAATTCTGGGCTTCTCCAGCCATTTCTAGTTGGGCTTTTATTATATTGAAACCCCAGGAAATTCCCTTTTCCAGTTAAGCATGGAAATTTGCAAATTTCCACGATTTCAAAAGCAAGTTATGGACTGTGTTAAACATGGAGCTGATTCTGATTTTGTGGTTCTACAAGAATTCACAGTGGGAACACAAAACACAAACAGGCCTATTGTTGGAAGCTGAAGACAAAAAGCAAAGGGAGCACATATGTGAAGTTTTCTGCCTTATCCCAGAAAATATCACCCTTCAGCCATCTCTGTTCTGGCCTCTGTTCTGCCCTAGAAGAAACTTCCACAGCAGAAGACTGACTACTACAGTTTGAAGTGAAGGAGGAAGAAGATGAAATGTGTAAACCATCTGGCTGCCAGCTCACTGACAGACTGTGGCCACCTCATCCATTTAGCCAGAATGGCAAGCAAATTTCAAACAGAACTTCCCATTCTTTGCCAGTTTGTTTATTACTGATACTTATTCCATCATGCTTTTAATAGAGCTTGAACTTTATATGGCTTTTTTATTTACTTCCCCCCCCAAGCTCTATAGCATTACTGTTTTTGATAAAGCTTTGGGAATAGGCTTGTTAATGAATATCTGCCCTTGTTGCCAGCTCTCCAGCAGAGAAAAACAAATTTCCCCTTCCAACAGAAATATTTTATCAATAATATGATACATTTAAATTGTGGTGTCTCTAGATGGCAGCATTTTCAGAACACGTGCCTTTCATTTTTCAACAGTTACTGTTTCAGCGTACCTTAAGCAAGTCAAATACAAGTGCTGATCCAAAGTAATGCCTCCTATTTTATTATGTTGACCCACAACTTCAGAGGCAGATGTTGGTGGTATGGCAGTAGAGATCAAATCTTTCCACCAACAACCCATTATATTTTGTTGCCACTTGACAGATGACAGCAGAGGGGCAGTCTGACAGAATGGAGTCTGACACAAAAGGGCACACAAATGCCCTTTCTTCAAGCAAAGGTGTGTCACTGAATTTGTCCACGTGGAAAAACGGCACCCAGTTGCACTCAACAATGCCTGCTGAAGGTTTACAGAGATCAAACAGTGGATGTGAGTACAGTGAGGCAGCGGGTGGTGCACTTCAGCAGTGATGACAGCAATGTGAAGGACAAGCCACATTCCAGCTAGTCATGCACAGCTGCCACACAACACAGTGAAGAGCATCTTCATCAGCTCACCAACACAAATTAGCTGATTACTACCAGGAAACTGTGTGTGGGGCTGAATATCAGTTTCAATGTGGTGAAAGTGGTGATGGCAATGTTGGAATATTGCAAAGTATGAGGTGGGTCCCACAAGTCCTCACAAAGGAACAGAAAGAATACCATGTGCAAGTTTGTCAGGACTTACTGAAACAGTAGGAGCCTGAAGGTGACTGTTTTCAGGAATTGCATCATTACCAGTGATGAGATGCAATGTCACCACTGCAAGACTGAGTCAAAACAGCCTAAGAAGTGGCAAGATGTGTATTTCCCATTGAAGAAGTTGTTCAAGATGCAGCCTTCAGCAAGTACAGAGAAGAGGGGAGTGATCTGTCTGGATTTTCTGGAACTCGGATAAACTATGAACTCTCCTTGACCAGTACACCTTGATGCTGACTACACTGAAGACTCAAGTTTCCGGAGTCAGGCTAGAGAAGGAGACAACCTTTCTTTTGCAACACAGTAATGCCAGGCTCCATACCAGTTTGAAGACTGTGGGGCGCAGTATCAGTTTTCACTGGACTGTCCTACCACACTCACCATACAGACAAATTCTGCATCTTCTGACTTCCATCTGTTTGCTCTGATGAAAGACTGACTGCATGGGCAACATTTTCCTAGTAATGATGTTGTCATAGCAACTGCAAAACAGTGGGTGACCTCCACTGGCGCAGATTTTTGAATGCACACCATGAGGCTTTCATCCACTGTTGGTGAAAATGCATAGCTTCTGATGGTGACTATGTTGAAAAAGTGTTCTGTAGCTGGGAATTTCTCTCTCAAATAGCATTACTGTGCTCTTTTTTGTTGTTGTAGTTTCCTTGGAAGCAAATAGAAGGCACTATTTTTGGAGCAACCTACATATTTAACGTATTGAAACTGCACTCAAATCAAGCACTGTATATGTTTATGGAAACAGAGATCAACATACTTCCCATTTCTGTAGTTTGACAACTTTCAAGTAAATGCTTGCTGAGCATTTTCTGTTGTAAATAAAGTTATACTTTCAAATCCAAAACAAAACATTTTCAAAGCAATTTTTTTTTTTTTTCAAAAGCAAAGTGAAACCTTAAAGAAACCATACTGGCTTACCTGCAATACAAATTTCTGATCTATGTATTTTTTGGCAATGCTGGGCTGAAATTCTTGGCTTTCCAAAAATCGTATGAAAAACTCATATACAAGCTGCAAAGTGAAAAAAAAATTAGTTTAGTTTATGACTTCATTATTGTTTATTATTTCTAAGTGTTTCACTAGATTCTTTCCATATAAAACAAAATACTTATTTTTCCACCAAGCAGGAGGATGAGAAGATGAAAAATATTTTCCTCCTTTAGCAAATTGCTACCTTAAGTGTTTCAATTAAATGTATGAGCTTTGTAAGTCAGTTTTGCTTATTTAACTCCATTCAGAGATATCTAATCACTAAATACAGACACTGCCATCTTGTAATGCTTGTTATCATCTTGTAAAGCTAACAAGGGTAATTGGAAAGCTTGTTTAAACTGCCCTCTGTACTGCTTAAGTCACATCAAATAGAAAAATTACAGTTATGAAAGAACTGGTGAAACAGACAGAAATACTAATTTTAAATTAAAAACTACTCAGAGTAGTTTTCTATGACAACTTGAAACACAGAAAAAAAATAGAAAATAGAATTTAATCAGGACGTTCTGACTTACTGAAAAGATTAGCCTCGAGGATGGAGAAAACCTGCTTGCTTCTATTCAAATCCTTCTCTGCCTGAACTACTCAGCAGGACAGCAATAGATCTTTCATTTAATAAGCCAAAAAGAAGCAGAAGAGGCACTCTGACAGCCTCATGTAACACCAATTCTGACCTGTCACTGATCACCTGAGCTTTGAGCACACACTTCTTTTTACTGCACCTTTTTAAGAAGAGCAGGCATTGGAAATTTTTTCCTTTCTGGTATCAGTAAGTATGAATTCTGACACTGAAGAAGAAAGGAAGCTACAAATCATATTTTAAAGCAACCTTAAACTTTTCCCTGCAAACACCGTTATGTTGCAACACTGCAACAGCTGCTGCTGCTTTATGTCAGCACTCTTTGAGTTCCTCCAAAAGGAAACAATCAAAAATCAGAAAGGTAGAGAGAGGCTGAGAAATATGACGTGGAAAAAATGTCAGTTTACGTCACTAACATCAATTCAGCAGGAAATCTATCAACTTCTGACAAATACTTTGGTACACTTCTTCCTCACAATGGTAAGTCATCCAACTGGCTAAGAAATTATATCCCTTTCTTTTTTTAAGTAATGACTTTTAAAAATACAGTGCTAGTGTCAATGAAAGTAAGATAGCAGACATGTGCCTCTGCTGCCCACAGGTTTCTTGAAGATTTTAGGATTCTTATTTTGTGAAACTTATTATAAATAAAGAATGAACCCTACGTATCAAGAAAGTCCAAATCTAAGAGAACCAGAGAGTGAAGCTGCTCACAGGCAAAGCTGTACATCCAACTGTTAAATAAAACACTCATTTCAATCTGAGATCAACTGTGCTCCTTTGCTCACAGATCCTAGACTCCACAAACTGCTTCTCTGCTAAACTTCTTCTAAATTTATCTGTGGTGTTAAGTCATAGTCCTGACTAACAAAGACATGGTCTGTAATTCCTTCCAAATAGATTCTTTCTATAAAGGAATTTACTGCAATAGCATCAGTTGCTCCAAGATTATGTTATGCTTTTTGTTCAAAATACCTTCCATTGACACTTGAGATACAGAGGAAGCAATGACAGACAGCACTGAGCACTCACATCACTACAAACACCTGAAAGTAATCTTCAACTCAGGGAGAGGAAGGGAGATATAGACAGAGGTACAGATTCCCATTTGTTTTTCTAATCAGCAGCCTACCCCTGTGTGCTTTTGTATAAATGTTAACTATAATCAGTAAAGCAAAACTGCTGGAAGTACTGTTATTACTTGTGTATCACACAAACGTGAGGAAAAAAAATTGATCAACAAAGGGTAACAGGACTACAAGAGACACCAGTTTTGAAAGTTCTATCCAGTTCAACCCAGTTTTGAAAGTTCTAACACTTTCCAAATTCATGAAGTACTCTACTGTCTTTGTAGATACTTTGTAGATACCGTGTAGATACAACACCACCAGTGAAATAGAAACAGAATTTTCTCATAATTTCGTAATATCTCATACACTGGTTCTCATCCACAGGCTAAAAAAAAGTTATTGAAAATTAGATATATTAAGCAATTATAAGCATTTATTTTTAAATAAATGCTCAAAAACCTGTAGATGTGGCCATGATGCCTCCAAGGTGGGTTCATCTTCTTCTGGATCAAATTCATTGCTGTCACTAGGTGGGAGAGTTCTGAAGATATTGCAAGATACCTGAAAAGTGAAAGAAAGAATAGTGAGATCTGTTTTTCAAACAGGTACTAGATTCTATGCCTACTATAGACATCCTCATCGTGGAAGCAGTATTTCTATTGCTCAATGTCTGACAAAGCTTCTTAGCAACAGCATAGGTCAAAGGAACCTATCACTTCACAAATCTACCACCAACTTTGGCTCTTAGCCTTCTTTAGATGTTTTGCTTCTTTCTAGGGACATCCCAGCATTACCCAGTGAGCCATCACTGCTGACTTCCCAATGCTCCACATGAGCCCACCACTTCATTCCCTGTTCCACTGGCCATCAAGGTCTTCTAGGTCACAGGCATGGCCATCGGTATGCATTGACAAGGGTTTTCATATACTTTATTTTCCTTTGCCCCAGGAAATACATTAACATCTGCTAAAGTTCTCATCTGTCAACAGTTGCTTTAGTTATCAGTGTTCTTCACACAGTATATGCACAGACATTTTATATCACATGCACAACTTGGTACTAAATGCAGGCAAGAAATACAACTTGCTTGTCACTTTGCCCATATTTTATTTCATTGCTGCTTCACTCTGCTAAATCTTATTTACAGGTACTTTGCTCAGAGTGCTTGGCCTTGTGAGGCTCATGCTATCAGCAAAAACCAGAGTATTTTTCTGGGTTAATTACAGTGCTGAATGGAGTCTACTGATAATTATGCAGCGCACATCTTATAACCTGTAAACATGCTGCAGGGCCTCTTCTGCACTTTGAAGGTAGTGTAGTGCCTTCCTTGCACTCTGCTACTGTGTTTGACCCGTCTCTAAGCTGGTTAATCAAACAGTTGGGAAAGGCAGCATATTATCTCCTAATCCTGTCTATACGTGACCCTTGCATGGTAGTCCAGACAAATTAATCTATTTAAGCAACAAAACTAGTACACTCTTCAACATCCCAATGCCTTTTAGAGCTGGAAATATTTTATAGTTAGTCTGTAAGGCAAGTCTTCAGTACAGTGGCAATTTAACATGAGAAAGCACATTAAAGCCAGGAATTTAAATACAATCCAGATAGCAATGAAAACAAATTGAGCCAGAGTGAAATTTTAGAAGCTGCAAGGTAAACCAAGGAGATCTGGGTGCTGCACAAATAAGATGGAACAACAGAAAACCATAGGAAAGCACATACAGTACATACTAGCAAGGAATATTCAGCGTATACAAGTGGAAAACAAAAGTACTGTCTAACTGAAGAGCAAATATGGCAAACCAGCGAGCACAGAAAAAAGTGGTTTTGTAGTTGGACTTTTTTCATTTGCCACAAGAGGGAGCATTTCGCTGCAGATACAGCAAAACGCTCTGACAGAATCTTTCAGCGGATGTCAACTCGCAGGGCTCTCAACCCTAATAATACAGCACCTATCAACCTGCCCTTAGATGCACTGAACTCTGTCCTATATGCACACCTCCCAAATGATACCTAATGCTCAGCAGATGTTCTCCTTTCCACTTCTTTTCCTGAGTCCTCCACTTCTCTCCAAAGCTCCCACATACAAAGATTCCTCTAAGTCAAGCATGTACTTCAGGAATATACAAATGTTACAGTTTGTTCTTCCCCAGGGATTCCTGACCCCATCCTTCTATCGTCCCTGAGACGGAAGAGCAGGCAGAAGAGGAAAGTGATCAGAACTAACGGGTCAGAGGTCTTTATTTAACAGCTGTTTATGAAGGTAGGTATGATAGGAGCAGGGGGAATGGTGTTAAACTGAGACAGGGAAGGTTTAGGTTAGATATTAGGAGGAAGTCTTTCAGACAGAGGATGGTGAGGCAGTGGAACAAGGAGATTGTGGATGCCCCATCCCTGGAGGCATTCAAAGCCAGGCTGGATGCGGCTCTGGGCAGCCTGCTCTGGTGGTTGGCTGCCCTGCACACAGCAGGGGGTTGGAACTGGATGATCATTGTGGCCCTTTTCAACCCAGGCCATTCCATGATTCTGTGATTTATCAGAGCACAAAGCAGTAGAAGGACGCCCAAAGGATTCCCAAGTAAAAAGGGAAAAATGCACCCATTGGTGCCTTCCATCTGAACACCTGGGATTCTGCAGTACTTACCAAAGTATTTTTGGTTAATGCTTCACGTTTGAAAGTCCCCAATTTCTCAGCATTTGGCCCCAAAAACAGGGAACTAGCAAAATCAAAAGCAGTCCACAGCTTTTATTCTGCCTTAAACTTCATTTGAAAGAAGAAAATGAAATTCTTCTGCAAATTTCAATTAATGAAATTCGTACCAAAAAAATCTGAAGAAATGTAAGCATTTATCAGATGTTAAGTTTTAAAACGAGAACAAATGCCAAAGTATGGCACCAGCAAAACCAGCAAGGAAAAATACATACTACCAGAATGACAAGCTAATTGAACTCAAATTGCTGTAAGATTTCAATTAAGTTGATCCAAGTTTCACACAGTTGCCCTAGCAGCACCATGGAAGAATGAAAGTTTCAGCAATAGCTAGTTAAGTGTCAGGACCAACATTCGAATCTTAAGCTTCTAACAAAACCAGAGAGACTTCTGGAGCATGTATTTAAAAATAAAAATTAAAATTAAAAGTCAGTCTCATTGCAAGTCAAAAGCAGGCTTTTTGCATAAGAACATACAGCAGGAAATGCAATGCAAGGTAGAAGAGAGTTCTCATATAGTTTGCTCTCTGTAATTTTTTATTTTTTTTTTTGCATTGGGAGTAAAGATAAGTTATACGGAGCCCAAATGCAGACATTCTCCTGAGGAGAACAGACAGAACAGGTTACCTTCAAATGATTCCCGGGGTAATCATAATTTTAAAAGATAATGCGTGCCATTACAGTTATATTAATCACCACAACACAGCATGAGAGCTCATTTACATGCAGTGTCAATTTACAGCATGCTTATCTAGATCAGTAGCCTCTGGGTGGCTAATGTTCACAAACCTCTAAGGGAGAACCGAAGGCAACAAGTTCTTCCATGCATGAACTGCCCAGCTGTGCGAGAGACTGACAGCCATCACACAGCGATGGGGAAATGATGCACCAGGTCTGGGAACAATAATTTTTCTCACAAAGGCATAAGGTAGCTGTTCAGCGTTTGTCCCTGGGCCCAAGCAGAGTGCCAAAATTCCTCCGGCTCGATCGATGAATCACTTCCCTTCTGACCTCTGCTGGCTCATCCAGCCATAGGACATCCCTGCCAGCCTCTGCACAGCCCTCGATGGCTCCTCTCCCACTGCCAATGCAGATGACTGCCGATCAATACTGACTGCCATCTTCCACCAATTAGGAATGCCTCCAAGCCCTGATGATATTTTTGTACAGCAAACCTGAACTCTAAGATTCTGGAAAGTTCTATCGTGACAAATCTTCATATTATGTGTTCCAAGTTGCCTGCATGCCATGCTTCAAGATAACCAAGTGCCAGAAATCAATTCAACAAACCAGTGAGATCCACCCATCAGCAACTAATCTAAAATTCCCAAGATCGCGTTGGAAATGCCACAAGGAAAGATCTTTTTTCAGTTGCAGATGCCCAGAAACCTGTAAGCTGAGTGTTGATGCATAACCCTGACAAAATCTTCTCCAGGTATTTATGGTTAAATGCAAGTTCATTAACAACAAATGGGAAGATAGACAAGGCTGTTCTGGTGCCACCACAAGGAATGAACTGTAAGTTCTGAACACATCTGAGAGTGGTAAGCAGCAATCCAGAACAGAGAAAATATGAACACAATTAATTTGAAGTAACAAGCTTCAAGAAGTTCTGATTTTATCTCTGTGTTTATGCTTGAAATAACTTTAAGAAAATCAAGCACTAAGCTGATTAAGCCTGAAGTCAGGAGAAAATGTTTGAGAAGTCCTCTCTCCATCCCTCACTAGAACACCATAAAGCACATTGATGTTACAGAAACACATCATAAATTCTATTTCAGCTCAGTGCTCATTTGCCATGCTGTTTGAAACAAAGATTTGATCAGTAATATTTTTTCTGAATGGAGCCCTAAATGAAAACAAATGTACATGCAGGGAAGTGTAATATATTAGCTGTATAAAAACAGGACCAGAGAATTAATTTATCTGTGCTTCTATTGCAGTAAGTGGAACTGTCCACATAAACCCCATGTATACAAGAAATTGAAACTGGCTATCTGCACTCACCATGCTTAAACCAGTTGTGCATACAAACAATGCATGGTAACAACAAAATGTAATCAGGCCATATAGGCAGCTATTTGAACTAGGAGTGACTAGGAATGACACTTAACCTTCTCAAATATATCTGCATATGTGGGGGGTTTTTTGTATTGCTCATGGATTTACAGCCATTCAACTGCAATCTTTCTATATATACCACTTAACTGTTCCCAGAAGTTTGAAGTGCACCTTACAGAAAGAAAACCCTAGTTTTATTTTAAAATATTAATGACTCCACCAGCTCTTACAACCCGGACTTTTAACTGCTGAACTGACTAGGGTAGTGCTGCTCCTGGCTTCAAGGCTGAAATAGCCTGGTTCCCATTGGATCTTGTTAAACCATCAGATCTTCTCAGCATCTCCCTCTAAATACAATTTGCACATGCAGAACACATCTATGGGTATACGTTAATATATATATATATTTTTATATAAAAAAAACTATACGGCAGCTCTCAACATCTTTGCTGCTAAATGGAAAGAGAAATCTTCTGAACCAAGGCAGATGTTGGTTTGTTTTGAAACCTGTGATTGTTTTTCCTACCTACCTTTAAACTCCCACCTTTATTTTCTTAACATCTTCAAATACGTACAGCAAACGTGCATAAAAAAATCTGGCCATTTCCCTGTTATTTCCCTTTTTTGAATAGTGCACTGTATCAGAAACTTATCTGAAAGTACTCAAGATACTCACCCACGATGGTCAAGTCCCTTCTGCACCACCATTTGCCAGAATACAGTCATTCCAAGTTGAATACTATATGTCTTCTTTTTGCCCAGCAGCATTACTTTTGACTGGGCTACATAAA